TGTTGTAAACCATAATATAGATTTGGAAACGCGCCTACGTCAGAAGCGACGGAATGGCCACGCTGCGACGCGGCACATTCCACTCGCCAATATTATGGAAACAGAGGAGACACATCATCGACACCATGGCGAAATATAGAAACAATCCTTGGTTATTGTATCTCTAAAAAATTCCATAATTAAGATTATAAAAAACGGACGGCCTGTCGGCTCGTCAGACGAAGTAAGAGAGCTACGAGTGAAGCGTTACTACGGTAACTTAGTCGAAGTACTAACCTCCAGCCTCGTGATTTCGTACTCACCACGTTTACGGTTTATTTCTAATAGTGTATTCTAACGTAACTTGTTTTGTTTCAAATAAATCTTTTACTTGTTATCGAGAGTTAAGTTCCAACTTTTTACTCGGGCAACGAATCCCTAAGTACCTGACTCCCGAAAACCCTTTCCGGCAGTCAAATCCGTGAACCCAGTATTTGGGCTCACAACACCCCTCTATTATATTATAGCCATTAAGGAACTGTTACCCTGGAAATTCCTTACACTTTTCCAGTCATAAAACTATCCTTAATCCCAAAAATATACAAATCCTTGTTCCTTGCATTTTTAAAATGGGAATTTTCCAACGACACGAAAAAACCCTCTCTTCCTATCCAAAATTCCTAGTTCTCGTTAGACTAACTTTACCTTATTAGAAAACGTAGCATCTAAGGAGAGTTTCAGTCGAGCATTTGTAAGAGAAGGTCCTCTAGAGAGTAAAATAAAAGATTGTCTGTTCTACACTCATTCTTTAATTAACAAAATCTGTCCGTGGAGTCATAGCGGCAGAATCTTGTATGTCGTATTGAATCTATAACGATATAATTTGCCACGACATAACAGTATAATGCGTCTACAAGAATGTGCCTTTTTGCATCTGTCATTTCGAACTATTTTACTCGTGGACCGACTATATTTTAATATAATTATGATATATGTATATTATAATGGGACGACGAATAACAGGAATTGTGCCGTAACAGGAACCGTGAATTGTGCAATGCTTAACACTGACTAAACTTACGCGCGCACTCTAATCTAGAAAACTTGTGCATGTAAGGTGTGCGTGTTCGTGAATTGAGCCAAGACTTTTAAACTCCTTTACTTTCACTAGTGCTGAAACACTAATGCCAGGTTTCCGACTGCTCGGGAATCTCCGTCACCTTTGTAAGGTAGGGTTCGAGAGATCCCGAAGCGATACGAGGCTCCTCGGCTGAGAAGAGCCGTGACGAGGCGAGCAAGTACTTTATAGCTTGCTAGCTAATGTATTATGTTCCACGTAGTACAAAATATTTCAGTAGTATTGTATTTCAGTAATATTTCCCATATGTCGTTGCTGAAAAAATATTAAGAAGACATTGTGAATTATTTCTTCGCAAGACTACATGCCAGTTTATGAAATATTGTTGAACCTATCAGTTTTTTTTTCTATCCAAAATATTTCAATAAGTTTTATGTAAAATATTTATTTTTTTTTCCACCTCGAAAATATTAGAAAATGTTATATATTGTTACGTATATCGACCTTCATTCCTAAACAGAAGAATAACGTAGCCGACAGGAATCATAATTGCAGAGTCAGCACGTTACCCAGTGCATTGCCCGTGCCACCTACCCAGCTGGTTAGCCGAGTGCATTCCTAACGTCCTAACCGTACCTAGAGCATCAGCAAAAATCGACTATATAAGCAGCCAAAATCATGGCACAGACTCTCAGAAAATCATTCAATTTCACGCGTAAAAGATCGGACTGCACGTTGTCACTCGTGGCTCTAACCGTTAGAGTATTAGATTCAGTGTAGTATTCGCAATCTGGCCTAGGTACGGATTCGTTATTACATACCCTAGGGAACAAGCTGGATCGGTTACCGGGCAAAATAGAGCTGCATAGACTACTCTTTCCGAATATCGCATAGTTTTGATAGATTTCTGTTCCACCAAATTTCATCTTGCCTTAACCTCACACACAGTTAGGTTTTGTTATCCGATATTTCTCATAATAGAAACACTGTACACGACAATTAATAGAAAACTTTTAAATTGGTTGTAACAATATATCGTAAACTCACATTTTACTCGCGTTTTTAAATATCTCTTACCCATCCTCAACATTTCATAGAATATCTACCCACGTTGGAATAGCAAGGCGTGTTTCAACACCTTAAACGAGCAGCGAACCCGCCATTGAGTGTATTCTTACCGCTCGGAATTCACTCAAATATTATTCACGTTACCTCCGGTCGTTTCTTTTTTTTTTGGTTACTTCTAAATTTTTGTTATCAAATTTAAAGGCCTCGCTAGCCACTACGGCCTACGTAACAATATGAAATAAGTGAATAATGAAAAATGCATTTTGTTCGGTTCTGATTGGGAAATTCATAAAAATTGATAAGGGTTGAAAATTGCAACATTTTTATAACAAAAAACTATCGATCGGGTTTCAATGAAACCAATTTCATTTGAAAAAGCTAAAAAATAGCAGATACATTTCTTTGCGTTTTTCGAAAAAACCTCCTTTAAGAAGTTAACCACCCCTATGCAAATGTACCAATATCTTAAACTCAACCGTTAAAAACGGCATTATGTTGCTTGAACTTGTCTTTCCAATTATTACAAAACTCATTTTGTATATATGCAGCGTGAATCCGGGCCCGTAGTTCTGGTTTGGAACTACACTACCGATCAAAAGTTTAAGTTCACTTGCTTTATTTTTGAATTCTACACAATTAAGTCGGCTACTCAGTGAATTTTGTCAAGCACGTGCGTCTTACCTATAACAAGTCGATACACGCTACTGGTCAGAGTGTAGGAGGGAGTTTGGCGCGTTTGGGAGACGCGTAGATCGAGCACAAACTTGTTATGACAGGTCGCAGTCTCTCGGTGCGTCTAGTGCATATTGCACTTAACATCTTAGTGCTTGAAAGCTCTTTCCAAAAGTTATATTTCCAATTGTTTGTCATATTTTTCTTTACAAAAAGGTAAGTAGAACATTTTTCATATTGAAAATCGTTACTGTTAAAGAAAAATTTATATTTAAATTGACGTAATTCGACAAATATTATCTCATTATTGAAATGTGAAGAAAACTACATATTTTATGTGTCAATCGTAGAGAAATGGATCGAAAAGCAGAGCTGAGTGTAGAGATACGAGCAGTCATTGTGGCATTACACGAAGAAGGTTATTCAACGCGAAAAATTGCTTCTAAATGTAATGTTTCTCAAACTGCAATCATGGGAGCGTTACAAAGAAAGCGAGGTGAACCTAAACTTTTGACCGGTAGTGTATATTCGAAAAAGAATTTTCCTCAGAAGAAATGAGCTACGAAGGTTCCCAGTTACATCATTGTTTATTGTGATTGACGTTCGATCCAGCAAGCGTAATGAAAAGACAATTCCGTGACTAAGCCTTACAGAAGTTAACACTAAACCTACCAGAGCGGTCAAATGACCGCTTTTGCGACTTTAATCAAAATTGTTAAATTCCAGGTTTTTATTTTTATTGAACTTACTGCACGACTATGCTAAATTCTGTATTAATTACAATCAACTGGAAAAGACTATAATGTTTATTTCAAAAGCGGTCAGCCAAGTGGTTGACAGCCATCGGTAGAAATAGGTATATATAATATGTCGGTAGGTTTAGTGTTAAAGTTGAAATGAGCTACTAGAAGATGGTATTCCCTTATCTTGTAATCCAAAATGCACAGGCTAGACGGATAAGGATTTTGTAAGAATAAAGTTTTGTATAATAGGACTTTGCGTAGGCTTGTTCAAGATGAGTCAAAACATGTACTTTGCTTTATGGGAGGATGACTAAGGATTGATTACGGGGATGTTTCCATAGCCTGGGTATAGTTCTAGTTTTGCAATGCTTGCTGTCTCTGATAGAGGAGTGTATTTCACAAGCGTATACCATAAAAGTACGCTCGCAAAGTCTTTCGAACTTTTGTGCCTTTTTATTTCAGTAGGTAACAACCCTTAAACGCATTTTATCACATTTATATGGAAATATGTAAGTTTTTCGAACACAATTCATTGAAAATAAATTATCACTGACAGGTATAATATTTTCGTCTCATTAGTCATCGTGAAAGTAGTTTCATGTCAAAGAATTACAAGAAACGGGTTCACGCTACGCATAGTTTTGTTTGTAGTCAAACTATACGTAGCGTGAACCCAGGCCAAGGATTCGAATTTCTAAATATATTCGAGAGGATATTTTCCTCATAAAGAATAGCAACGAACATTTGTAGAATAGACCCCACAGATTTATTGAATAAAAATAATTCATCACAGCAAGATTGTGGATAATAACTATTACATGAATAAGAGATGATATTGATTGTAAGACTGAACAGTGGAGCTAAAGGAGCATTCTACTGCCTTGTATTTACAGTAAAATTCCTCAAGCTACCGGTGTAAGGAATTAGTAGTTAGATTCGTAATGTGTCAAAAGTTGGATTTTCTGCACTTCGGCATTTGTTAGGATGAGAATGTAATGTTTAGGATGGTTTGGATGAGTTCGAGTTATAATAGTTAAGGGATGGGAAGTTTCAATGAGCGTGGGTATAGGTCGCAATTGCGGAATGCTTGGCGTTGGTTTGCAGGCCCAATCCATTAGATTATCGTTAGAATGAAGAATTGGTTTATGGGTTATTTAAATCTAAAAATTCGGAGTTCCCTTTGAACTAATAAAAATTTATCGTTACAACTCAATTTTACTTATAATAATAACGATAGACAACGAAGTTATAAAATGCCGAATGGTCTTATAAGCTAGGATTATAAAAGAGGATATCGCGATCCCATATTTGCTCTCACTTTCACTCATTCATATTCACACATATGTACGCTACCGGCGCGTAACTGTAGACGCAGTCACAGTCTTAAGCCCGTATTCAGAACTCGCTTTTAAGCCACTTTTAGCTAAAGGTACGCTAACAGGGAGCAGCGTCTTGTAACATGTACTTTCAACCGCGTTCGGAATCATTCGGGAAGACTCGGGCATATTCGATTATGTTCGGAAGTATTCGGTAGCATTCGGAAAGCGCGAACTTCATATTTGGTGCACATAGCAACCATATTTGAAATTCGAAATCACAAGAATTCTCTTTCTCGAAGGTAAGCTATTAATATTAAATTAATACGTTCAAACTATCATAAGACAGGAATGACATGAAAATGAAAAAAAAAAAAATAAATGGTTGCAGATCATCATGGAACGAAAGGAGAATTTCACCCTCGAAGAAAAAGCATTAGTCATACAATTTGTAAGCGACAATCGTGATATACTAGAAAATAAAGTAAATAATGCTTGATTGCAAAAGAGTAGAAGAGACAAATGAATAAAACTAACAGCGACTGGAATTAAGAGGGAATGGAAAGATATAAGAGATGCATAGCAGCGGTGGAAACTCACAGCAAAGAAGACTATTTCTTGCTATCGCAAGCGTGCGAGTGGTACAGGTGGAGGTTTTGCTCTCTCAAAACCTTCTGGGCTCGATTTCAAAATTAATAAAATTTGCCTGGAAAATTTTGTGGAGGATGAAGATCCTCGCAAATCTGATAGTCTCTGGGCATTGAACACGGCCGAAATGTCTAAGGATGACGTCACGTACGAAACGGATCATGTCTCTCTCGAAAAACTTGCGAATTTCTTACTGTCATTTCATTACCTTCGCGGACTTCATTTATCTCGGCAATAGCTTCCATCTGGTCCGCCATATTTGAGCGACCTGTCACTTTAAACATGCCCCTGCCCACATCTTCGAATAGCTCGCTGTTAGTACAACATGGCGCCTAAGAGCGCGCTGTTAAATGCTTAAAAGCGGTTCTGAATAGGCTTTTTCGCTAATAGCGCATTACTAGCTGTTAGTGACCTTAAGAGTGACCATAAAAGCGGTCCTGATTACGGTCACCTTTAAACTCACTAACAAATAATTTAAAAGCGTGCTATTAGCACTAAAAGCGAGTTCTGAATACGGGCTTTAGTGTTCGCACTTTGTCCTCGCCATAGATATCGGTCCATCAATCTTTCATAATCGCACTGAAACTATACGACAATATTCTTTGTGGCAGAATTCAGATGATGCTATAACTATTCTGACTTTGGCTGATAACATTATGCGTGTAACTCTTTAGGCTCGATACGACTTTATCGGCTTACAAACAGCGATATGTAACAGAAAGCGGAACTCCCGTGAAAATTATAGCCGCTGTGCGATGTAATTAAGAAGAGCTACTCTAGTCCGAACTATGAGTTCTGATATATACCTAGAAACTGATTTGCTCTTGCTGCTGCATCCAACATTCGGCTAATAGTTAGTGGACAAGCAGAAGAAAATTTGATATATTCAGTGGTTTTAGGCGTGCGAGTGAATCCTGCAATTTTTAGCTCACACGTTCGAGACACATTCGCGATGCGATAAGATCGGAAGGTAGCTTCCTCACATAATGCTATGGTCCGCTTTTCTGGACTCGCAAGATTCTTTCTCTATATCACCTTATCTTATTATTATTCTTCATATATTTATATGTATGTGATAAAAAAGAGGAGTCGTGGTTGGTGGTAAAATGATTATTTATTGATTTATGGATTATTTAAAGTGAAGCGCCCTGAGCTTTAGCACCACGTGCTCTATGCCTCGGACGAGAGCTGAGAGGTCAGCCTTAGGCTGAGACGCGAGTCGGCCGCTGCCGCCCACGCCCAAGTCAGGCCAGGCGCTCGGGTGGGGAGCGCACGTACACACACATGTGCGACGCACACAGCTCATTCAACAATACCTCGCAATATACAATGTACATACTATAACAGTATGTAAAAAAAAAGTCGAATCTAAAAACACGGCACGTGACAACGTCTGTCAAAGATAGAAATAGTTAACATCTCTGTGCCGTCTTATACGGAAGAAGGCTCTGATGCTATGTTGCTTCTCACAGGCTGTGCTGGCGTAAATAATTATTGAGTTGTGATGTGCCTTGTTTTGTGGCAGCATTTGTTCGTGTTCCACACAGGAAAAGTACTCGACCCCATCCAGTGATTATGAGTATACGTAGACGTTTTCAAAACTTGACCCGCTAGGATGAGTTATTAAAGTGAATAATGCATTTGTCTTGCCGCAGTTAGATGAACCACAAAACACCGCTCGTATATTATTTGGGAATCATTCACCGTGACGTTTCTTTTTCTTTTGCTCACCACGAGCAAAATCGTCAAAGTTCATTACAGATAACTATGTGGATTGTATGTCGAATCTCATCTCGGTCACGACTAATGTGAAAACTATTAATAATGGGTTTATAAACATCATTGTTCAGTTTGAACGGTTTCACCACAGAGTATAGACATGATCGTGTTGTTAAACATAAACGCAGAAGGAATAGAATATCTCATCGTGCTAGAGGCTTCATAAAGATTATCAACAGTCTACTTGTTAAATTACATATACCATGTACAAAACTAGCGAAGAGACTCGCACGTGGCTGCAAAGAGTACGATATTGCCTGTTAGAAGAGTCGAGAAAACCAAAAACATACATTAACTGAATATCTGGTCACGTCTACATATAATAGTTTAATTAACCAAATTTTACTACTTAGGTTGGCAATATGTGTACTTCGATCGAAGCGTTTCGTCGTTGGATGGAAAAAGAAAACACATTCGATACAGATTGTTTATGGCTCAATTGAACTATTGATACCTTTAACAGTACATATTATTAATATTCGTACAATACTATAGTACAACCAATTGCAATTATCTATTATTTAAGTAGTGATGAAGAATGAACTAGGGCTGAAAATGCATTCAGTAAGTGATTGACTTACTGAAATATAAAAATAAAAGACAAATAAAATATACGGGAACGCATTTTATTAAATATCAGATCTGATGTACATACTACACATTACATTATTATATACATCGTATAGTAGATATATGTATTAATACTTACTTTAAAAAATAATAGAACGGGCTTAAATGAAAAAAAAAACGTTGATGGAATTCTTCAATATTGATTTTATAAGCTTGTACGAAAACATCGTGCGTAAAATATTATAGCCCGTATTCAGATCTCGTTTTTAGTGCTAATAGCGCACTTTTTAATTATTTGTTAGTGAGTTTATAGGTGATCGTATTCAGAGCCGCTTTTATGGTCACTCTTAAGGTCACTAACAGCTAATAGCGCGCTATTAGCGAAAAAGTATATTCAGAACCGCTTTTAAGTATTTAACAGTGCGCTATTAGGCGCTATCTTGTGACTAACAGCGACCTGTTCGTACATGTGGGCAGGGGCATGTTTAAAGTGACAGGTCGCTCAAATATGGCGGAGCAAATAGAGGCTATTGCCGAGGTGGACAAAGTCCGCGAAGTCAATGAAATGAGAGTAAGAAATCCGCAAGTTTTTCGAGAGAGACGTGATCCGTTTGCATTGTTTAGTGAACGTGAATTTCGAAACAGATATTGCTTATAGAAAGACAGTGTACGATTTGTGATCAGTTTAGTGGAAGATAGGTTAGTGTCTGATGCCGGTCACCACAACGACATATCCCCAGCAATGCAGGTACTTGTAACCCTGCGGTTCTATGCTAAAGGATGCTACCAGACAAAATTAGGTGAGTCCATTACCATAAGTCAATGCTCATTGTGAAAATTAATATTAAAATAAATTAAATTAAAATAAATAATTATTATAATACTCTGTCATTTGCATGATACCAGTAAAATTATTATACATTTTAGGAGAACTGCATGGCATTTTCCAGCCTAGCGTATCCAGAATAGTTGCAAAAGTATCTGATGCTATTGCTGCACTGCTTCCACGATTTATTGTGTATCCAGCTGGAATGGAAGCTCTTAAAACGGAGTTTTACAACATAGATCACTTTCCTGGGGTTGTGGGCTGTATTGATTGCACCCACATTGCAATAAAAAACCCTAGTCGGGAGCGAGCTATGTTGTATGTTATCCGTAAGGGTTATTATTCTATCAACATGCAAGTAATGTGTGATGCTCAGAGACGAATTCTGGATATTGTTGTTAAATGGCGAGGCAGTGTTCATGATGCACGTATATGGGACTCGTGCTCTCTGAAGGAAGAGTTTGATGTAAGCATTTTTTCATTCATTAAAAGTATGTTTGATATTAGGTAATCAATGAAGTGATAATATATTTATTTTTATTTAACACTAAACCTACCAGAGAGGTCAAATGACCGCTTTTGAGACTTTAAACAAAATTGTTAAATTCCAGGTTTTTATTTTTCTTGAACTTACTGCACGACTATGCTAAATTCTGTATTAATTACAATCAACTGGAAAAGACTATAATGTCTATTTCAAAAGCGGTCATTTCACAGCCGTCGGTAGAAATAGGTATATATAATATGTCGGTAGGTTTAGTGTTAATAGGCCTCGAGGATAAAGGGAATCTTGCTTGATTCTGTCCTGGTAGCAGGGAATATGTTCCGCAGGGACTTCGTGCGAAGACATTTCGCATGAAGGAGTTCCTGCATTGCTGGAGGTGCTGAGGCTCTAACCTATCTGCCCTATCTCATCATCTGTACACTGCCTTTCGATGAAGATATCTGCTAGAAGTTATACGAAAACTAAACAATTCAAATGGATCAAGTTCCTGTCGAAAACCTTTTGGATTTCTTACTCTCATTTTAATAAATGAAACTTTATTTTATATTATAATACTGATATTTTGCTTCCTCATAGAGGAAGCTATGTTTTCATGAAAACATTTTTTTTCGAGATTTTCATGTTAGAATACTTAACATGGTCTAAAACGTCAAGAAAAGTAGTTTAGAAAAAATGTCCGTATGTATGCGCGCGCGCGCGCGCGCGTGTGTGTGTGTGCAGGGCTTCGAAAATTCAATTGCCTCTTACCCAGTAGTAGTATAAGTTTGGGAGTTCTGGACGAGGAGACCTGTAACCGACATATACCGACACTCCAGAACCTTCGAAGGTG